TTTTTTTTTAGCAGAAGAGTCCTTTTTAGAAGGCTAGCTAATTAAAACGAGTGAATTTAAATCACGAGGAGCTACTGTATTCACGTCTGATGATGGTGGAAGCTTTTTAAATAACATTTTTTAAAGTTTTTGGAGCCGTCTCCTACCAATCCTGTGGTTTTGCATCCTAATTTAAAGACCTAGGTTTCTTCAAAGCATTTGTATATCAGCCATGTCATGTGGAGAAATACCAACTGCAGCCATCTTGTCAAAACTTCGATAATAACTTTATGCACAATTTCATATTAAGGGATATYGCACTCGTAAGTGTTGTGAATGACCCTCAGCTACCACCAAATCAAATTTTAGCTCTGTATCTGAAATATGACTGAGTTGTAGCAATTTTTTGTCTTTTTAAAGTTCAGTGGTCTCTGGCGGCCATCTTGAATTGGGCTGGCTCCAAAAATTAAACAATTGGAGAGGTATATCCAATGGTTATTTYTTGAAAGTTTCATTAAAATATGTCTGGTGGTTCATAAGATATTTTGCTAACAGACCAAGTTGACTCAAAATTGTTGACGGCAACAGTTTAATCAATGTGCAATCTGTTACTGCTTAGAATATGTACTACACATTTTTTTGTATYGTTATAAACTTTGTGGTTTCTTGAGATATTTTGCTAACAGGCTCAGTTGTTTCCCAACAGTCAACAACATAGTTTAAAGGCCAAAATCTCAGGCAATCAGAAAGAGCTGATCCATTGTAGATAATTATATATTGATTACTTCCTGAGAGCATCATTACATGACATCAACATGTTCATGAGATATTTTGCTAACACTAAAAAGACCTGTCCAAAAAKAATATTTTATTACATCATTAGAATATAATGAAGATAATTTAGTTTTTAATTTATGCTCAAGTGAGCTGTAAAAAAAATAAATAAACACACTTGAACGTCACTTTTTGGAAGTTTCTGAATGACCTCAGTGTTTCAGATTATGGCCCTGCTCGGTCCAGATTTAACTGCTGAGTGCTTTGAGATAATTACCTGCAGATTACACATAATGTGAAATGATTGTTCCGACACTGGTACACAGGGATAAAGATTTTCTGTACATCCTGTATATTGGCTGGATTGGGAAAGCAGTTCCACAGCGCTGGCTGGATGTCAGCCAAGCTGGAGGTGGGT